ATGCCACTGTTTTGTGTCTGAAATGACATTCAGCTTGAATATGCTTCCAGTCAGTCACCATCAAAGCACCAGCCTCAGTTCTGCAGTGACCGAGTCCTTGGTGGGACAATGTGCTGAGATAGGACCTGACATCTGCTGTGTATGATACTCCTCACGTTGAGATAGTTTAGAAGAGAAATGAATCAAGTCCTAGCTAATGGGCATTAATAATTGTTCTCAATTTAGGAGATGATTTAAGTCATTGGAGTCTTTGGCCAGAATTTAGGGAGTGTCTTGATCTTTGCAGTCTTCCAGAACATATTACGGGTTTTCCCCGCATAAAAGTTACTAAATTGTGCCACTGACAAATACGATATGAAGGCGATTTTCAAGGATCTGTCCTGCTTTAAATGCTAATTAGTTTCAGAAAAAATGGATTTTGCTTTATGCACAAAAGAACCTTATTCATTAAATAGATTGGTTCTTTCTCTGCAGGCTACACTAAATGTTGAATATGAAAATGTGTAATGCCTTAGAAAAACATTTAGGATGATTATTTTAAATTAAATTCTGTGTATGACTAATTTGCCATGCAGACTATTTATGCTGATACATTTGATCTGGAAAAATGCCAAAGTTTAAAAAACATGTTTAGAAAGTTTCAGTTAAATACTTTGCTATGTACCAATCTTCTAAGAATACTTACATTACTACCAAAAGATGCTTTATTACTTTGTACAGAAAAAAAAAAATAATTTAAATTGAGTGGCTTTTCTCATCTTAGTATTAATGTCCCTTTAATTGGACAGCAGTTTTAATTTTTCCTCCTTCATATTAATATATTGCAAATATTTTAATGCCAAAATCAAAGGTGACTTGAACTCTAATATAAAATAAATATTAATTAGTGAATGGAATTGAATAACCATTAGATGAGTATATAATTTATGTCAGTTATTGGGTTAAATGCTAACTGATTGAAAAAATGCTAACTAGTATTTTATTATGATTTTATATGCTATAGTGTTTTTACTTTTTCTTTCTCTTAATTTTTATGGCAAGCTTATGAGATAGTGTTCATTTTAATTGACATTTTATAGTTGAGGAAATAGGCTGAGTCCAGTGAACTAGAACAGAAGTGTAAAATATAATTGATTCATTTTTTGTTTAAAAGAAAATAAACCCTCAAATGTCTTAATAACTATGGCACAATTAAACATTTTTGGTAAAGTTTCTAAACTACACTGTTATGTAATTCCAAATGGGTTGACCTATCCTATTTTTTAACATAGGTTAAAACATGGCTCTGGACCTTAGAATCTAAAATAGTTCATGACCTTCAGAATTGTACCAGTTAATGTCTCCTGTAATCCATACTAATTACACCTGCATTGTACAATATTTTGTATTAAGACCCAGAGAACCTCAAGTATTTTGAAAAATATTTATGCGTTTTGGCTTTAAACCTCATGAGAAAGGCGAAAACAGTACTGAAGATGTGTGCCCACCTTCACACCGTGACATCGCGGTGACTTTAAGTGAATTCATCAGGTCAGAGATTTTCAAATGGCGGCCGCAGAATTTTTATAATATGCAACACCTGACTATTTAGTCAGGGCCACGGACCTCTTTTCTCTTAGATATCAAATTAAAAAAAAATGACAATAGCCAGCACAATAGTCGCCCAGTGTAAATGAATCAAAATTGTACCTATTTTTTGTCAGATAGGCAAAAAATAGTATATATTTTTGGTGTGTGGCAGAATTTGAGTAATTAGTTTATGTGTGCCATGAGATGAAAAAGTTGCAAATTGCTACATTAGATGAGAGGTGCCCCGCTGATTTGTGAGTTGTGTTTACTATTTTCTGTATATTGCTTTTCAGGCGAAGACACAAAATAGCATGCATAGACATACATTTGCAGAGGCACAAATAGAGAGCAGTAAATGAAGTTGAAAATGTCGCTAAGCCCTGGAAATTGGGATCAAGAACTTCTTTGTGATAAAGTAAAACATAACAGTGATAAACGTACGCCTTAATGGAATTTTGGGTAGCAGCAAAATTGCGTATAATATAGAAAGTAAAAAGACATTTTCTATAATAAAACCATGTTATTATACCTTCAAAAATTCAGTGCAACTATGTTAAGCCAATCTAAAAAGACAGCAGGTGTCATTCCCAATGAGAAAGCTATCAGTTTCACTGTGTTCAAAATCGGGGTCACAGTTAAATAAACTAATATTATCATAGTCTCAGTGATTAATATCTCAGGCATTTTGATATAAAAATATAAGGTGAATCATGATATGTAATATAATAGAGTGTTTGTAAGACAATATTTTTGAAACATTTTTGCAAACATGTAAAGTGGATGATCACTATAAAAAAAGTGGTTGTTTTCAAGTGACTTCCTTAGACATGTTTTACTAGTTAAAAGATTGTTGTTATCCACATTAACTTTTTTTCTGAAACCTTGTGTGTGTACATTTAGGTGACATTAACCAATTTTCCATTTCATACTTCACAGCCGTCTGATTCAAAGAACATCCATTTTAAAGTCAGGCTGTGGAATCATAGATCCATGAGACGTTTGCAGATAGAGACACCAAGCAATACACCAAGTATTGCTCTGACGGCCCATGGCTGGTGTGTAGGTTCCCAGCCTTGAGAAACACCAAGCCACGGCATTATCTCTGTTCAACCCCGAATTACCAAGTGCACCTCACGGAATTAGTATTCATTCTCTGGATTTACATTTGCCAAGTTCCTTTTTTAAGAACACTAGTTGTATATATACATTTTTATAGACATTAAGAGACCTGGGTTTATTTCTGGGCTCTCTATTTTGTTCCACTAGTCTATGTGTCTGTTTTTATGCCAGTACCAGGCTGTTTTGATTACAGTGGCCTTGTAACACAGTTTGATATCAGGTATTGTGGTCCTTCCTGCTTTGTTCTTCTTTCTCAGAATTGCTACAGCCATTTGGGGTTGTTTATGGTTCTGTATAAATTTCTGAAATGTTTGTTCTATATCTGTGAAATATGTCATTGGTACTTTAAGAGGAATTGCATTGAATCTATAAGTCGCTTTGGGTAGTATGGCCATTTTGATGATGTTAATTCTTCTTATCCATGAGCATGGTACATGCTTCCATTTGTTTGTGTCTTCCTTGATTTCTCTCTTCAATGTTGTGTAGTTTTCTGAGTACAGGTCTTTTACCTCCTTCATTAGGTTTAGTCCTAGGTACTTTATTTTTCTTGTTGCTGTATCAAATGGGATTTTTTTCCTGATTTCTGTTTCTGATATTTCATTGTTGGTGTAAAAAAATGGTTTTGATTTCTGAATATTGACTTTCTATCCTGCTGTTTTTCCAAATTCATTTATTAGGTTGAGCAGTTATTTGGTGGAGTCTGTAGGATTTTCTGTGTACACTGTCATGTCATCTGCAAACAATGACAGTTTAATTCTTCCTTTCCAATTTGGATGCCTTTTATTTCTTTTTCTTATCTGATTGCTATAGCTAGGACTTCTAGTACTATGTTGAATAGGAGTGGTGAAAGCAAGCATTCTTGTCTTGTTCTTGATCTTAGTGGGAAAGCTCTAAGTTTTTGCCCACAATGGAATTCTACACAGCAGAGAGAAAGATGGAGCTCCTACCCTTTGCAACAGCATGGATGGAACTGGAGAGCATTATGCTAAGTGAAATAAGCCAGGCTGTAAGGGACAAATGCCATATGATCTCACCTTTAACTGGAACATAATCAACAAAAGAAAAAAGCAAACAAAATACAACCAGAGACATTGAAATTAAGAACAATCTAATAATAGCCAGAGGGGAGGCAGGAGGGGACAGTGGGGAGAAGGACTTTCAGGAACAACTATAAAGCACACATGGACAAAATCAAGGGGGAGGGTGGAAGCAAGGGAGGGAGGGAGGTTTGGATGGGGTGGGGGGAGTGGTGGGGAGAAAATGCAGACAACTGTAATTGAACAACAATAAAGTAATTAAAAAATACAGTGATAATATCACATTTGCTTAGCATCTTTAGTCTGAATATCTCATTGTACTGTAGACATATTAATAATTTTAATACAATATCTGATGTGGAAAAAAAAGAAATGAAGACAAATAATATGCAATTATTTTCCTCAGTCCTGTTCAATACTTTTTTTCAAACATATATCTCTCAGACAACTAAAGTTGATAGTGTTAGAAACTCATTGCACCTCAAAAACTTACTTTTGTTTGTTCCTCACATTTACCATATGACCCAGAAATTCCCCTCCTTGGTGCCTACCTGAAAGAGAGGAAAACGGGCACTCAAACACGCACATGCACACACGTGTCCGTAAAGCCCAGCTTGCAATAGCCAATGTGGAAACAACCTAGATGTTCGTCATCATACTATGGATAAAGCCATTTGAGACAGCCATTCAGTGGAATATTACTTGGCTCTAAGAAGGATGAAGTGCTGATTGATGCTACAATGTGGATGAACCTCGAAAAGATTGTGCTAAATGAATGAAGCCAGACACAAAAGGTGACATATTATGATTCCATTCATATGAAATATCTAGAATAATTAAATTCATAAGGACAGAAAGCCGAAGGTGGGGGTAGCTAAGGGTTGGGGGGAGTGGAAAGTGGGCAGTGACTGCTTAATGGGCACGTGACTTTTAAGATGCTGAAAGTATTTTCAAACTAGATAGAGGTGGTGGTTGTACAATATAGTGAATGTACTTACTAAATGCCACTGAATTGTTCACTTTAACACAGCTAAGGTTATGTTATATGAACTTCACCTCAGATGGTTTGTATAAACAACGGGTGTGGCAGTGTTGCAACACAATTTTATTTAGGAAAACTTTTTGTCTTTAAAACTGACCTCTTTGCAGTTAACAAATTAATAGTATAGTGCAGTATTGGAAATTATTTAGATTTTGCTAATTTGCAATTTTTTAAGTGCCTCACGTTTCAAACAACTGAAAGACTATCCAGCTTAGTGAATGCTGACAGCTTACCTTTGCACACTCTTTCAGTCCGAACAGAAGTCCTTGCACTGGGAGCCTCCTCCATGAGATGTTCCACGGTTGGCACAAGCTCTCTGCACATGCGTGTTTCCTCTTGCACGTTTACTCTTCGGGGGACTGAGCCAGGTTCTTCCTGTATTATCTAATGTATTCCTCAAAACAGCTCAGTGAAACTTCGCTGTTTTACGCATTTCCTAGTCGAGGAAACAAGGGTTCTACTTGCTTGGTCTGGGACTGGTAGCAAAGCTCGTTCTGTAAGGGTTCAGCAGCTTTTCCCTGACCAGCCACATCCCACAATGATGAGTTCTTCCCAACGGAGGCATGGCCCTTCCCTCTAGCCCAGCAGACGCAAAGGGAAAAACAAATGATGTCTTTAGGATTAAAAGTGTTTGTTACTGAGTTTGCTAAAAGTGCCATGCCAAAATTCATTCAGTGGCATGTTTATGAGTATATTACAGTCTCATTATGTAATTAAAGCATTAAATATTCAGGAACTCGACAAAAATGATATGCTAAAATATGTGCCCATGAATGTCTTTTAAAATTAACCCATTTACATCATATTCCAAAGTACATTCTTTTATTCAATCAATATTTATCGAGTGACTAAGATACTGATTAACAAAGTCCCGGCCTTTGGTGGAAAGCTCAGCTCTGAGAAGACACAGGATAAACAAATACTTGTAGGCTTTCGAGTAGCGGTGAGTGTTAAGGAGACAACTGTAGTGAGGTGAGAGCTGGAAGGCGCATGTGTACGCGCCTGTGCGTGCTCTGTGTCCAGCTTTATGGAGTGCAGTCAGGGCAGGTCTCACTGAGGAAGGACTGACCACAGACACAAAGGGAGTAACAGGTAGTTCATGTGGCTGTGAGTGGAAAGAATGTTTCAGGTATAGGGAACATCCTATTCAATTGGCCTGAGGTAGGGGTGTGTGTGATATTTTTGAAAGTCTGCAGGAGACCAGTGTGACCGGATCGGAGTGAGGGACTGAAGAGTGGAAGGAGCTGAGTCCGTAGAGGTGAAAAGGTGGCAGATTTTGCAGAAATATGAGGGCCTGGTAAGACCTTTACAATGTATTCTAGCTGATGTAGCAAGCCTCCAGAGGGTTGAGCAGGGGACAGTCCTAATCAGGTTTATGTCATACATATGATTGCTTCCATTGTCGTGTGATGGGAAAGTTATGGGTGGCAGGGCAGAGATGGAATAAAGCGGACCATTAAAAAGGATCTTGCAGTAGTCTCTAGCTCCTTTCTCTTTTAAAAAATGATATTTTAGAGAGAGGAAAGAAGGGAGAAAGAGAGAAAAAAACATCAATCAGTTGCTTCTGGTACATGCCCTGACCAGGGATCGAACCTGCCAACTTTCTGGTGTACAGGATGATGCTCCAACCAACTGTGAGCCACGCAGCCAGGGCCCCCTTCCCTGTTTTTATCAAAGAGTAATGAAAACAGTTATACTCAATTCAGCACATTCAAAAGAAATAATTCTTGACCAGCTCTTTTGTTCACAAAGTTGTGGATGCTGTAGGAGCTGATAGAATCGTTAATCATAACACCTGCTCTCAGATGGATTCCAGGCAATGGAGGCAATTCACTGCCTTCCAAAAATAAGCACGTGATATGTATATCTTGATACATATTAACATTCCTCTTCCATTTTTCTCTTTTCCCTTTTTTCCTCTCTCATAGTTTGAGTTGGCAGAAGCATATGTTGTTCTCAAGACGAACGTATTTTCAGGGCATAAAAAGCAATTTCAGCAGCTGTGTATGACTTTGCGTGAAAGGGAATGGTGTGTGTGACCATACCAAGGCAATAGGGCCAGGACATACATGATACAAGGCAAAATACGAGGTGACAAAAACAAAGTACAGACTCCAGGGAGGGCGGTTCTATCGCCGTGGGCGAATTGGGACATGTTTTCAGGGAAGAGGCAGCCTTTGACTTTGGCCTTAAAGGAGGAACAAGATTTGGGTGGTGAAGAAGAGAATAAGAGAAGGCGCATACATTTTGGAGGTCGCACCAGACGAGCAAATGAATTGGTCACCAAGAGAGGTGTCCAGGGTATAGGTAGGCAGACAAGTATGTCACTGAAAGTCAGTTCAGGGCATATTGTTTCTGAACTCCAGAGGCTGTTCTGAGAGCCTTCGAGCACAGAAATGTAACTAGACTGATGCTCTGAGAAGGTTAATGTGCCAAAATTAAGAGAATGTGGTCTTATGTGACAGTGGGGAAACGGGGAGATAGTCGTGGCTGTCCGGTCTGGAAGTGGTGAGTCCTGGGGTAAGGGTGTGCTGAGGGCTATCCGGAAAGGGGAAGAGAAAGAAAATTGGGGGTAGATATGAGAAGTATTGGGGAGAGAAATTTTGGGATGGGAGCCATGGGACTGTTTGGGCAGTGTGGCTGGGTGAGGGATCAGTGAAGGGAAGGATTCGGGGCAGTGGGATTAAATACAGGGGACTGAAACAACGGTGGCACCTCACTTAAAATAGAGATGCCAGGAACAAGAGTTGCTTTGAAGGGGAGGAGCATGCATTTAATCGGGCACTTGCACCTGAAGCATGTCCAGGCGGAAATATCCTACAGCCAGTTGCTGTAAGCCTGGGTTTGGCAGACAGACCAGAGTTACATCAAAACAATTTTGTTATTTGTTGCAAGATAATAATTGAAGCTGGATAAAAATATGTCATCATTTTAGGTGAACTTATAATAATTAATCTTCTGGCTCATTAAAAGAAACCTCAGACTTTAAGCGATATGCTGTGAAATAGAACACACTGCTTTTGTCTCCAGTAGAGCAAGAGTTCAAGATAATTTCCCCGAACGAGGTTTGCAGCAAGGACTCTGTTGAAAACGGCTTCTGTCCTGGTGCCTATAATAGCAGACTCTTCCTTGAATGTGAGCCATGATCCAGTGAAGAAGGCACTTCCCTTTCAGGCACAACATGCATTTCATTTCCAAGGGCAAGGCTTCTCATTTGATTGCCAACCTCCCTAATTAGGAGGCCTTGAAGACCGTTGCCTCAAGATTGTTCAAGCCGAGAAAGCATTCACAAGCGCAAATATGTTTTATGTGCAGGGGGAAAACTCGCTGTAGTTGACTGAACGTAGTTAGTTATCACAGAGACTTACCTTTAGCTCCAGGCAAACACTGCCTGCAGCATTGGTATTCAAGACAAAAGACAGCCATCAGTGTAAATTCTTGTCTCCTATGCAAGGTGTATCTTTTGATCTTTTCAAAGAGAGCTAGAAAATTGGATGGTATTTGCAGGAGCCTTTCAGCTGAGAAATGTCAATAATGTAATCGTGTTGAGACCAGGACATGGAATTGACTTGTTGGGAGACGGGCCCAGGTGCAAGGATGCAGTGCGGATCTGATTATTGTACCGAACTGGGTTTGTTCATGAGATCCAGGGGCGCCAGGCCACATCAGGAAGCAACATTAGGAGAATTTGATGAATCCTCTAAGCAGGTTTCTTCGTGGCAACTCCAAATCTAAGTTTTTAGAAAACACAAAGAATTAAGAAAGTAAGTTTCCTTGTACTATTTGCATTTGTAGCGTGTAAGTAACTCTTTCCTCCATTCGGTGGGTAATCTGGTGGCTGTGAAATCAAGACGGGCCATTCCATTTCTCTCAAACGGAGCGAACCACCTGCACTGCGTTCTGAGTTTCTGCAAGCTGAGCAAGTGCAAGTTTTAGGTGGCTCTTGGGTGACTTGTATAATGATCCAAGTTGTGTCTGTGTTGTTGAAAAAAAACAAACAAACAGCTATATCCAAAATAAACAGAATCAGTAAATAAAATTGTTCAATTTTGTAATTGCTTTAATGTGCTTTTTGGTTTTAATTTTTTTCTCCTCTCTTTAGTTATTTGGAACTATAATGGCATTTATTTCTCATTACCTGGTTGAATTATCTGTGAATAGAAGAGAGATGAGCATTAATTCATAGATTCCTAACAAGATCAATTCATTCAATATTCCACTCTGCCTGCAGTGACAGACGATGTTTTTGCCACCACAATAGTCTGTGGGCAAAATGAGTATTTCATCTTAAAAATGTACCAAAAAAGCTGTAATTGGATACCACAATTCTTTGTATCACACTGGAATTTGAACTTACATACGATGTTTTCTGAGCATCTGTGAAATCTTACGTGTATATCTTAGAAGAAGGCGGAGGTGACTGGTTGGGAGTGACTTGTGAGTGGCTTCCTCATGGGACACGTGGCCCCGGCTCACAGTCTCCTTCTTAGAGAGACGCCCACGGTGGCAGGCCTCGCGAGAGCAGCGAATGCCTGTGGAACGCTGACAATGTGGCAGAGAGGACTGTAAGCGCCCCTGCGTCCTCTCCTGCCATCACGGCAGTGCTGTGAGGGGGTCCATGTCCTCGTTCCCATGTCGTGCCGAGGAAAGGGGGACGTGGAGAAGTGAACAAGATTCCACAGCTTTTAAGCAGCGGCAGCCTGACTCCGAAGGCTGCACTGGAACATCTCCTTTGCAGCAAGTAACAATGATCGGAACCACCGATTTGTTCGTGTGGGACACAGGTGGCAAACACACGGCCCGTGGGCCGAATCCTGGCCTCTGCCTTGTTTTAGCTGGCCTGGGACCTTGTTTCTACCCCCCAGTAATGCCGAGCTCTTGCTTAACTGATAAGGAGTAGTTACATTTACGCAGTCCTAAAATTACATTTGGCCCTTTGAAGGCAACTGCAAGGCTGATGTGGCCCCCAGTGAAAATGAGTTTGACACCCATGATGTAGGAGCATCATACAACACATTTCTTGAGGTCCCGATAGTAATTGAGCTGTGTTTTTCTCAAAAGAAAGAACATTTTAGAAGATGGCTTCTTCTATTGTTTCCATGTCTCTTGGGGAAATAAATATAGCTGTTTGTTTATTTAATGGCATGTGACTCCAGCAAAGTGTGAAAACGTCATGAGAGCAGAGGCATTGATTTTGTAACACGTACAACCTCCCACCTGCACTCAGTGCATCAATGTGTAGGTGCTTCATTGTGGTGAGTGCTTTAGCTGTGGAAGCACAGTTTGGGACTTTGTGAGAAGGCAGAAAAATAAAGTTACATACGCAGGGTCTGGGAGAAGTCACGCCTGTGTGAGTGTGGTTGGTAGGGTAATAATGTGAGTGTAATAATTTATAGTTTTAATTCGAACACTTCACCTATAATGTCATGGTGTGCTTGAGCTGATATTGTCATGTTACAGAATTACATGCTTATGATTTTGTAGTAAAAGATTTTGTAATAAAAAGGGGTGCTATTTGTACTGGACAATGTATATATCTTTTGTGTCTGCATGTGTGTATATAAATATATATATATAAGGATATGCATTTATAGTAAATGTATACGTGATATGAAAACACTTGCTCATACAACCTGCAATAGGGTTACATA